AACCTGCTTATAATTCAAATATTCTGACCATTTCAAGCTGTTCTAAACTTTCATATGCAGACGTAAAAAAAATTATTAAATAACTTTGCCAAGAAATAAAAAAGTATAATTTTTTAAAAGATATCAGTCTCTGTTAATGTTTACACTGAGAGGAAGTAAGTTTGATCTGAATGTTTGGTTCATACAGCATTTTTTTTTATCATAATATTTGAGGTTAATATAAATCTAGTAACATCATATGCCTTGACAGAAGTATAGCAGCAAGGTCTCATACTTTTGTAGCTGTAAAGAATAATAAGAGTAGCCTAGCAGGTTCATCTTATTTAACTTTACTGGACACATACGCAATTGACGCTAATACTATACCATTACTAACATTCAGTTTTTTTTTTTCCATTTAAAAATTTACAGTAAAAAAATACACACATCCAATATTTTTTATTACTACACAAAATATAAACACATGTATGTATTGATAAGCAACTATAACTGTTTCAAACATATGTTTAAAAAAAAAAAATCGACGATTGTTTTTCACCCACAACTGATAATTTGGTATGCTTGTTAAATTATTTCTTGAACATGCACAAACTTAAGAGTAATTCATACTTACTTGAAGGTGTTCTTGTTCTATATTTCTTTGTTCTAGAGCTTGTTGAGACCTAGATATAAATAAAAAAGGTAATATTAATGAACACAAACTAACAACAGCTATAAATACATTTTATGAAACAAGGTGGTCTTAAACATGCAAGGATAGTTTCAAAAATTTAAGATTAACACTTGAATTTAAAAGTTCGTTAACACAGCAAAATATCATATTTAAGTAAGGTGCTAAGAGTCAAACCATTTTCATGAACATGTTCAGATGCCTGAAGAAATTTAAAAGTGGCAGGGTTGGTAGCTACACAACAGATATCAAATATTGTCATCCATAGATTCTACGCATCCTGAACACAAAATTCTGTGACATCACCTATCTTGAATCCAAAAAAAATGTAGATAGGGGTCAGAATTTGAAAGATCAAAGTAGGTTTCCAATCCTTTTATTGTAAACAACAGATTCAAAAGGCAAAATTTAAGGAATCTTTTCAACAAAGATGCTATATCCTATTTGATTAAAAACAAGAGAAAATTATTTGTCTTAATAGAGACAAAGTTAAGTAAGTTCTATAGAACTATAAAGTGGTAAGAAAAGAGGTTTGTATCAAACAGAAGACACAGACTAGTTAAGGAGACTTATGATTTATGAACTCAAGGATCTGTAACAAAAGATGGATACAGAAGGGCTAAGTCGTATAGCCTAATATACAAACTCTCAATATTGGACTGATGCAGACATAAACCCTAAGTTATGGAGAGTTGGAAAAGCAGACTACATCAAAAAAGGATCCCTACCAGAGAAAACTTATGAAAGTAAGCAACCAATTGACTAAAAACAAAATCAAAAGTAGATCCAAGATGAGGTCACAAATACCAAGGATCACAGAGAACACCATCCATAAAGAACTAACTACAGTTGTTCAATTGCCCTCAAGGATCCTCATTATAGGGCATTTATTTTCTATGGATACTGATACAATTTGGAAACAAAAATCAAATATTCCACTAGAGGTATGGAAAATATTTTGGTGAGCAAAAGATTTAAGTAAACCTGGCATTTTGTTCAGGAAACATGATTTTGTTAGAAAATTTTTGAAACTGGTCTTTTCATGTACTAAAATTTCCAGGAAAATTCAACAAGAATATTTATCCACAGTCAGGCATACGTATAAAAAAACTGTCTAACAACCACTAATAACATACAGGTTCAGAAATATTTAATTTTGCTTATAAAGGTTATATCTTGAACTAATTATAATGATGCAATTACAAAACTTTATTTATTCTCTTTCTATAAAATGTTAAATTAAACTGGTTTCCATATTAAGCACTGGAAGATGTAGGTAAATACAGATAAACATGCAAATATTAAGAAATCTGTACTTGTAATATATTTATACATACAAGTACACAAAAAAGTGTATGCAGATGTTCATTTACTTACCTAATATGAAGGTTATTTATTCGTTTGGATATAGGCATAAACTCACACCCTTCTTCTTGACAATTCCTAGAACGTTTCCTACATAAAAAAAAAACACTTAAATGTGTATCTGTGTTACAAAAGGACAGTTTAAAAAAGTTTAAACACTTATCTCCCAGAAGTGAAAAGGGTGAAAGTTCAAAATTAATTCTCAATTTTTTCAGGGGTATAAGACAATCATAGGACCAACACTGACTATTGGGACAGATGTAGAACTTCATGATAACACAAATGTTCTAAGCTACGTATAAATTTGATAACACAAACATTCTAAGCCATGTATAGAACTTCATGATAACAAACATTCTAAGCTACATATAGAACTTGATGATAAACATTCTAAGCTATGTATAGAACTTGATGATAAACATTCTAAGCTACGTATAGAACTTGATGATAACAAACATTCTAAGCTACATATAGAACTTGATGATAAACATTCTTAGCTACGTATAGAACTTGATAACACAAACATTCTAAGCTACGTATAGAACTTGATGATAACACAATTTCTAAGCTACATGTAGAACTTGATGATAAACATTCTAAGCTACGTATAGAACTTGATGATAAACATTCTAAGCTACGTATAGAACTTGATGATAAACATTCTTAGCTACGTATAGAACTTGATAACACAAACATTCTAAGCTACGTATAGAACTTGATGATAACAAACATTCTAAGCTACGTATAGAACTTGATGATAACAAACATTCTTAGCTACGTATAGGACTTGATTATAACACAAACGTTCTAAGCTATGTATAGAACTTGATAACAAACGTTCTAAGCTGCGTATAGAACTTGATTATAACACAAATGTTCTAAGCTACGTATAGAACTTGATTATAACACAAACGTTCTAAGCTACGTATAGAACTTGATTATAACACAAATGTTCTAAGCTACGTATAGAACTTGATTATAACACAAACGTTCTAAGCTATGTATAGAACTTGATTATAACACAAACGTTCTAAGCTACGTATAGAACTTGATGATAACACAAACGTTCTAAGCTACATATAGAATTTGATGATAACAGATAACATGTTCTAAGCTACATGTAGAAATTGATGATAACAGATAACATGTTCTAAGCTACACGTAAAACTTAATGATAAACCTTTTAAGCTATGTATAAAACTTGATAAATATTCTAAGCTACATATAGAACTTGATAACACAAATGTTCTAAGCTAAGTATAGAACTTGATGATAACAGATAACGTGTTCTAAGCTACGTATAGAACTTGATGATAACAGAACATGTTCTAAGCTACATATAGAACTCTATGATAACAAAAACATTCTAAGCTACATGTAGAACTTGATGATAAAACAAACGTTTTAAGCTACATATAGAACTTGATAACACAAATGTTCTAAGCTACGTATAGAACTTGATGATAACAAATAACGTGTTCTAAGCTATATATAGAACTTGATGATAACAGATAACGTATTCTAAGCTACGTATAGAACTTGATGATAACAGAACATGTTCTAAGCTACATGCAGAACTTGATAACATGTTCTAAGCTACATATAGAACGCTATGATAACAAAAAATTCTAAGCTACATGTAGAACTTGATGATAAAACAAACGTTTTAAGCTACATATAGAACTTGATGATAAAACAAATGTTTTAAGCTACATATAGAACTTGGTAACAGATAATATGTTCTAAGCTACATGTATAACTTGATGATAACACATGTTCTAAGCTACATATAGAACTTGATGATAACATGTTCTAAGCTACGTATAGAACTTGATGATAACATGTTCTAAGCTACATATAGAACTTGATTATAACATGTTCTAAGCTACATGTATAACTTGATGATAACACAAGTGCCCTAAGCTACATGTATAACTTGATGATAACACAAGTGTCCTAAGCTACATGTATAACTTGATGATAACACATGTTCTAAGCTACATATAGAACTTGATGATAACATGTTCTAAGCTACATATAGAACTTGATTATAACATGTTCTAAGCTACATATAGAACTTGATTATAACATGTTCTAAGCTACATGTAGAACTTTACGATATAGATGAAAAGGTTAAATATTATTATAATTGCAGTTTTCTAATTAGAAACATATGTAGTAAGACACCAAATATACATGTCAGGAACTTTGTTTTTCATTATTTATGACATATACTAAATACCAATTTGTCAATAAAAACAAGCTTTTCTCATGTTACGTGTACTTTAACTTGTTAAAACTTACCCATGAAAACAGCCACCAAAATGCCAAATATGAGGAAGCACTATGTGAACAATACCTTTGTGATTTGGTCACATGGTAAAGAACTGATTAACATCTTTTTAAATCACTTAAACTCAATACATATGAAATTTACCATCCAGGTGGAAAACAAAAGTCCTCCATTCCTTGTTCTTATAATCAGACAATACAGCTTACCCACATCTATCCAGAGGTTGCATTTACACTGGATTCTGTATTATATATTCAGGAAATGTTAATAAAATGCAAGTAAACAACAACATTGTGTTTCATAAATGCTGATGTAACAAGAAAATGTTCCACTGTTTCAAACATCCTCTTAAAAAAGACCTGGATACATGTATCCATAAGCCATAGTAGTTTGCTAAGGAGAAGATTAGCCTTTTCCCCCAGGTGAAAATTTAAAGAATGTTCAAACCACAAAACTTATCTGATTAGACTCTTGATTTTCTTAGTACTTATTCCTTACCGGATTTCAAACTTTGCACTGTAAAGCTATAATAATTAAAACCTTTATATCACTGAATACATTAAAATTATCTTAACTTTGACTTATTTTGGTTACCTTAGGACTATATAATCTATACTAATTAATCCAAAATGTGGTATTATTGTAGCACAAGTCTCTCTTCTTGCAAGTAAAAAATATTGAGAAATTGGTTAGTGTTACTCGGCTTTACATTTAAAATGTTAACGAGTATCATTCGATCATCATAAAACTAAAACATTAAAGTGACAATTATGGAGAAGTTTAACAGTTTTTTTTTTACACAGTAATATTCTATGACCATTCTTGTGCATAGATTTCATAAAATAAGTAAGAACATTCAATGTTTAAAAAATGCACAATAATTTATTGTATAAAGTTAAAAGTAAAATACACAATTAAAAATTACATGTTTTGGTGGAAAAAGTTCCACCATCTTTAGGAGACCAGAAGAAACACAGGAAATTTCATTTTTTATTTTTATACCAGCAAGTGCACACGTATAATTTGCATATTATACAGTGCCATCTACAGACTAGATTTCCAATAGTTCACCAGTGCCTAGATCTCTATTCAAACTAATTTTTTGTTTAATAACTTAAAAAGATTCTTCTAGTAGGAAGAAAACAGAAGCCTCCCATTTTTTGATGTCCTGATAATCAGACAAGAAATAACCTATTCACATGTATCTAATGGTTGTTAAAAAAACAGAAATCTTCCATTCCTTGATGTCCTGATAATCTATATCTTACATGTATCTACGAGAAACCAACTATATAGACCAGTACCTGAACTACATACTTAACCATCCACATTCAGTAAAACAAAGAATAGTTTTATGTCTGTTCAGTAGAGCTTAAAAATGGAACAAATACCTACCCAAAAAATTACAGTACCTCCAAACTGTCTTTTAAGCCCATGAATACCTGAAAGACTTCATCCAACACAGAAACAAAACCACACGAGAACAGAAGCAGAAATTATAATCAACATTCCATTTATTCTCATAATAAGTTACAATATCCAGAAAAAATGCGAAAATTCGATATCAGAATGGGATCATGAATGAAAATTATTGTAAGAAAAGTTAAACAACCTCTGGACTATCAAACATCCAAAAGCAATATACATATAAACTAAGTGTTCTGTGGACTGTCCCATAACAGAAAAACACTAAGGACAAAGACTCAAAGAACACCAAAATGTTGTACGATTGATGAAGCCCAAGTTTCTCTCTCTCACTGAATATATTATGGACACAGCTCAAGTCACAGTATAGAATGGCACAAAAGCAAAATAACTGATAAAGAAAACAACACAAAAAACAAGAAAAATAAAAGAAGCTCTGCAATTCAGAATGAGAACCTTTGCTCTCAGGAATGGAGATCAGCAATCTATGGGCTAAATTTCTTGAAAATCAACCAGTCACAAGTCTTGCTCACAAAAACCAACCAGCCAATCATGAACCACTCAACCTATCAACAAATAGTATACAAGTTCTCCATTATGGATACACAGAACATTTCAGACATAACTTAAGCAGAATATATGACATTAAATATCAAGTCCTATTTTTTTGTGCCAGTTTGACATACAATTATTTTTTTACATCACTACTGCACCCACTGAAGTGATGATACAGAAAGTCGTTATTCCTGATAATGGTCTGATTCTTTCATACCTGTCATTGTCTGCTGTGTTTCCATCAAAATCCTGAATATTACTTTCAACATTATCATCATGATAATAATTATCATCCATTTCTTCTTCATTGTCATTACCAGTGTTTTTGCTGTCACTGTTGCCTTCAACTCTTGTGATGGAGTTGTTCAACATGTTCAAATTTAACTTGATCAATGCCCAAGAAATGGAAATCTTTGATTGTGGATGTCAACTATTCAATAATTTCATGATGTACTTTCCAATGATATTGTCAACCAAAGGAAGGCAGCTCTGCAACTTTGACAGTTTCTGTACTTACCTTCCTGTAAATATATGTGTGATGGAATGTGTGTGGCACATGCATCTTCAAGATTCAAGTGATCAATGTACAAATACTTGAAGCTATGGCACAACACAATCCTCTTGATATATTTCTCGTACTGTGATCCTGCATCCAGCTTGTCATCAACAATCTGAACAAACTTGACTGTCCTAGGTTCTTTCTCATTGCTTTCTCTCATGGACACCACAACTCGTAGGCTTTGAACATCTTATGGATGAAATTCTTCATGACAATTTTGGAAAAGCCATTTTAATATTGTCAACCAGTATCATTTCTGTTCCCCATGCCAAATTTCCAACACTCTGTTGCAACAATACACAGGAAATGGCTTCCTTTGCACATTATTGATCATACTGGAACACATTTGTGGCTACACTGATTCATCATGATCACAACTACATGTTCATTTTATGCCCATCTGGCACCCCAGATACTAGTACTTGCAAGAGATTGCTGGGATACTATCTTGCAGACAGTATTCCTACATTGTGTACTAGCAAGTGTTTGTACTGGTGTTGCTGCAAACATGACAAAGAGAAATGAAATTTTGGAATATTTTTGATTTTTTGCGGGTCAAGCTGGTGATTTGCTTTTGATTTTTTGGCCACAAAATATTTCTGACAAAAAATTAATTTTTGGAAAAATCAAATTCTCATTTAATAATGGTTGGAGACGGCTTGAATGGGTAATGAAGAAAAACTTTAATATAAGTTTAACATAACAGCAAATGTACAATGTTTCGACAAGGTTTTGTCGTCATGATGATGACAAAACCTTGTCGAAACGTTGTACATTTGCTGTTATGTTAAACTTATATTAAAGTTTTTCTTCATTACCCATTCAAGCCGTCTCCAACCATCATTAGTCTCAAAGTGGGTTCCTCGTCATTGAATTTGAATTTGTTTGCCTATATCAATTTTAGTGTTCTAGGTTTTACTGAACACTCTGAACCCCAAAACTTCCACTTTTATCAGCCTGGTTACCTCATAAGGCCAGTAAATATCAGAAAAGATAAATAAAATATTGTTTTTTACTGACAAAAATTTTAAATGCATGGAATAAGCAACCAGTTTTGTGAACACCTTGTCAAGTGCAAATCTTTAACAGTTACTAATAAAAGATTTTTGATATATAAAAGATTAACCTATTACTTACTACTGTTCCATTTTTGGAAACATTTTTCTTTTGTTACCTATGCTAATTTTACTTGAAACAGTAATCTTTTTGTTTAATAAACTATTTTCATAAATAGCTCAGCTGTTTCATTGTGCAACATTTTGAATTATGGCAAATTTTAAGTGCATGGTAAGGGAAAGTTGATAATATTTTATTATTAAAATATCATATTTAAGAGCTATTTCTCTATATTGATATTTATCAAAAATTTCTAATATATACTGTACTCTGTACACACCGTTTTAATCCAGTTTTCCTCACATAAGTTATGTCATTCCTATTTTGGATCATTAAAATCTTTTGATAAAGAAATGTTTGATCGTATCCAAGTTTCGGTAGTTAGTTTTGGGTGTGTAAAAAACTGGTTGTGAAGCAGCTTTATCTTAGTTTGGTAATTAGTGGGTTAAACAATCAGTTTGTGTTTTCTATGAATGAAATTAAATCCTAAATTACTCTTATATGTGTATATACAGTTTGTAAATAAGGTGGGGTAATAAAATGATAAATCCTTACAAGTCAATAAAGGCATAAAGTAGTATGCCAAACAGAACAAGGTGTACATATCTCAGAAACTAACAACATTCATCATTCAACAATTTTGCTAACTCTAACTGTGCTGGATGACTGTGTGTAATAACAATGTAAATATTTCAATATATGTACTACCATTTTATTAAATAAAGAATGCTTATTTCACCATTACTTACTTTCCTGATATATAACAGTTATAGTTATCTTTCCTCTGCTACAACTATTCGAGCCTCCACAATGTATTCCATAAAAATTAATACTGTACTTAATGTTATTATACACATAATTTACAAACACTGTGAGACAGAATATAAATATTCTTGCACAGAGTCAAATAAGTTGTTGAACAAAGCTAGATATATCATCATCCAATTATTGTACTGGTTTATTACATCTAACCTTATAATAAGAGTACAGTAAAAGCATAGTAAAATTGTTAAACTCACATCACTTTACATATAAAAAAGGTAGTGGTTATACTTTCATAAATTGTTGTTCAAAGATAACAATGTCTATATTTGGTGCCTACACAAGCAATAAACTGGAATGTATTAGGAATATTACAGTTCCTCCATTTTTCTTCATTCTACTAAGTTCTATCCAAGTGCTTGAATTAAAATTTAGTGAGTTTGCAACTCTTAAATACTACCCATCTTTAAACAATAAAGTGTAAAATGCTTTTTGTTCATATAAAAAATTAACTTGTGGGTATGGATTTGATGTATCTGAATTTTCAGAAAACATATGACAAGGTGCCACATAAAGGGCTTAGTAAAAAACAAAGTTCTCTCTGCAGGTGTGGGAGATAGGTTGGCTCATTGGATAGAAGAAAGCAGATGATTATTATAAATAAAGTTCAGTCAAAGTGGATTAATGTCATGAGTTGGGGTATCGTATGGCTCAGTCTTAGGACTATTGCCATTTTTGATTTACATCAATGACACATATGAAGTAATGGTCAATAGATTATTACAATTTGCTGATGATATTAAAGTTTTGGGTGTTGCTAGCTGTGAGGAAGATGCTGCTGCTTCACAAAAGGATTTAGATTATTTGGTGAATTGTGTAAATAAATGGCAGATGTATTTTAATTATAATAAATGCAAGGTAATGCATGTGGGATATCACAACTTGAATTATGAGTATAGTTTTAATGGAAATAAAGTTAACAGTGTTATGTAAAAAAAGATCTTACTGTTCTGGTTGATGAAGTCTCTTAAGCCATCCAAGCAGTATGCTGTTGCTAGTGTTAGGACAAATAAAATTTTAGGCTGTATGTACAGAAACGCTGAATACGAGTCTAAAGAAATTATAATTTCATTGTTTAGGTCACTGGTTAGGCCACATTTGAAGTATTGTGTTCAGTCTTGAGCTCCTTACCTTAGGAAGAGCAATGAATTGTTGGAAAGGTCTTACATAGTTGCCTTGAGATGTGGCAGATGCAGTAAATTTAAGGAATATTAAAAGAAAGCTTGATAAATATTTGAATAAGGGTTGGCTTTGGGCTTTTTAGTATTTAACTTAGTGGATGGGATAGCCTACATGAACCAAAAGGTTCCTTGTTGCTCTTTTATGTTATGTAAAGCTCATCAAACACACAGGTGCAAAAACAAGTTTCCTGGAGTGTGTTATCATGAAATATAAAGTTGAGACAAAATGAGTAGGTTATGTTATACACTGACAGAGGCCATGAATACCAAAATCTGGAAATACTGTAAACCTTCACAACTGAATACCTTACCCTATGAAATTATTTTTATGTTTTTGAAAATATTTCTCCTAAAATGCAACTCAAAAAGGCTAACATAACAGCTTTTCCACTGAAAGTAAAATAAAACTGGTGATCTCATGAAGGGAATGTACAGTGAGATTTGGCGTTTTAAAAAATAAAAAGGCATTTTAACTTTACAAAAAATTTTTCCTACATTTGAAAACTAGTTTTATAAGACGAAGTAATGAGTAGTGTGGTTAGTTATAACGTTTACAAGTTTATGTTATATCACATTAGGAATAAACATAAGTGGTTAATTTTCTTTCCTCACGAACACCAGTGTGAAACTCTCGTCTGAAGTCTTGCTGTTTTAGAGTTTCAGACTTCACCGTCACGTCAGTGTGTCTACGTAAGACAGCAGATGGACGTAATTTTCACGTTAACAATCTTACCTTGAAATTGAACTCGTAAAGGTCATTTTTCTTTCTAAAGCAGTCGATGACTGGTCCAGAGTGAAAGAAAATTATTAACCTTAAATACGTAACTTAAATTTATTAGTTACATCTAAGCCTATATCACATAGGCTTAAGTTTAAGGAAGCAACATGACTTATACACTTTTTTACTGGTTCCAGCAAAGTAGTCATCTGCTTCTCAAAACAATTTAGCGCTACCTATATTTATTACTTTTTAAAACATAAATAATACAATATCAATCCAAATAACATAAATTTAGGATAAGATAGGTGTTTCATAAAATAAAATAAATAAATCAGAATAACTTATTGTGCTCTAATTTACACGGTAGTCAGTGGAACTGGATTATTGAAGGATATTGTTTTATTTTACGCCAATTATTTGAAAAAAAAATTAGCACTTTTACATAATTTGAGTTGTATACCTCAAAATTTTATAGGATACTCAAAATTGTTAATTTTCTGGAAAGATCCGATAATAATAACGTAATCATTTTGATGTAAATTGGTTCCACTATAACGACAGAACTGAAATTTTATGGATCCATAATAAATGTGTGATGAATAAGCTTGTCATATTTTTTTTACACTCTTAGTTATAATTAAGTAAGAGTTTTCTAAATATCTGTTTACTCTTAGCCTTTTGAGAACCATTAAGTTCTTCTATGCCCAGCATGGCCTGATACTTAGGATACTGAACTTGCAATTTGCGGGACCCTGGAGCAAATCTGTCACTGAACCTGCTCACCCTTTCAGCCGTAGGAGCATTATAAAGTATGGTAAATTTCACTTTTCATGGGTAAAATAGTAACCCAAGAGTTGACAATGTGTGTTGTTGACTAGTTGAGCTGTATTCCCTCTATCTATCACTTCAAAATTAGGAATGATTAGCGCAGGTAGCCCTCAAATAGCTTTGCATGTAATTCAACAAACAATTAAGTTTCTCCCACCCACATTACTCACGGCACTGGAATAGTAACTAAGACCATCACATGTCCGTCTTTATCTCTGCCTGTCTGCAATTCAATTCCGATTGATTTGTCTCACGTTATCCGGCGCACTTATATACAGGAATAGAGGGCGCCTAGCACATACTGGATTATTCATGATGTTCCCCGATCCTTCGAGAATATCATGACGCGTTACCAGCGTCACGTGACTACCGCTGTCATAACAATATTAATGGAATGTAAAATTGATTATAAACATAAAATTGGTAAATTTGAAATTAGCTTATTCAAACGATATCGTAGCTACACTTATGGGAAAGTAATTATTCTTTAAACAACTTTTTGTAAACAATACCCCAATTCATTTTAGAAAACAGATAACATAAATAAATGTATATATATTTAAGTTATCCATAAAACATGAGAAAAGTTACCTAAAGAAAATTATCAAATGTATTGTTTACTTAAAAACTGAAAGAATTTGATTGGCATATTTCCGAAAAAATTGACGGAAATAATACTAGGCAATGGGAATTTCTTCTTGCATTACTCATAGAACTTTCTTCCTTATCAGCTGCAAAACTCATTGTAGATAATGGAGGAAATATATATAATGGTATTCCATGTCCAGCGTTAAATAACTTCTTAATATTAATTTTATCAAATACAGAAATCATCTCTAAAGTTCAGAAATATTTTCCCACCCAAGAATTAATATTGCTCTTCGTATGTTTTGAAATCCTGATCAATCCAGTGCTAGTGCTTTTAAACATTATCATAGCTTACCTGAGATTCACCTGAATCCGACGATAAGAACGATAATAGTGGCTGGGAAAAAATATTAGGCGATTAAGCCTCAGATATCTCTAGCTTGGAATACCCTTCAATCTGTTTTGCTTCAAAGTCTACTGGTTTGGAACTTGGCATTCCCTCCACTGCAACCTCAGTGACAATTACCTCTTAATTAAAAAAATGCTCAATTTAGGTACTTTGACGAGCAATTCGCTATTGTTATGGTAATTCATTTTTTACAACTGAGCTAAAGCTTGCTGGTAATTACTTTTTAAAAACTGAAACTACTACATTATTTTCATGCCACGGCCGGTTGGTGATAAGTATGGTTTCCTTTTTTCTTTTCAGTGGAAAATTCGATGTTTTTAAGTTTATGTAACTTAAATTAAGCTCTGGAGTAGCCGTTCACGTAAGTTCGACATGGTAGTTCTTGAATAAAATTAAATCGATCAATTAAGTAAAGTATCATATGCGTAGTTAAGTTTAAATTACAGCAGTCTTCGAGGCACTAACGGTAAAGTGCTTGAATGCTTAGTAACAAAAACGAATTTAGCAAAATATCCTACATTATTACTATATTTATGCGTATCTTTACTTTCGACCAGTTCTGATTATCATATACATTTACTTCTCGAATTTTTGCCGAGTTCTTTTCTCTGAGTGGTTGAAGGAGGGGGGGGGGGTCTTAGCTAATAGCCCTGTACAAGTGCACCGAATGTACATTAGATACACTGGGTCTATACCTTAGCTAACAGTTCAGAAAATTCAGTTCCTCCCTGTCCATCAATTCCCGTGCCTCTTTGTTAATGTTTTCTACGATCTGAAGGTTTGGTCGCAGCTTTGCTATCTTTATTCTACTATGATATCTAGAAAGAAACAACTTGGGGAAAAGGGTCAGCATGTTGGTCCCAATTATGGTATGTTGATCTTGGATATTATTTTACAGTATAAAGTCTCAGTTTGCCAAGCATCTAACTTGGCAAGCAACTGACAGTGCTTCTGTGTAATAGTTATTTGTACAGTTAAATTAAACGACGTCATTTACAGAACACTGTAAGAGTAGATTATGACATGTCTGTGGTGCCAGCCTTTAAATACTGATGGTAATGGGTTGCTTGAAATAGTCGAAATGTCTACCCCTATGTTTTGGAGACATTTCTAATTTCAAACATATTTTGCCGTTTATAGAAATGTTTAATAAGTGATCTGATCTTTTATCAGTCGTTGCTACTTACCGTTTTATTTTAGTCTTAGCTATGTATAATTATTGTTCCCCGTGTTCTGCGGACAGTGTCAAAGCCTCTTATTGTTTTATATGCTCGAAATGTAGCCCTGCCATACCACATTCTAACATTTTCTTGTACTTTACTTCAACAAATTTATGTAATTTCATGGCAAAATTAATCATGGGGTGTTACCTCACTCAAGACGTAAGATGTTTTTCTACATTATTCTCTTTAGATTAAAAATAAATATATTTTTTATTCTCTTTTGCCGTCCAGACGAAGTTAGTAGAACTTTATTCTTTATTTTATTTATTAAACATATAATTTTAGTATACATTCAATATTAAAAAAAAATCTTTATAAATGTGATAAAAATTTTAAAAGCTTTCAGATCT